GAAAAAAAATACACTTTCCAATAAGCAGTATAAATGAAAGCGAGAACAAATGTATTTTAGAGAGCACAAGGAAGTAATTATTTTAGATGCTGCTAAGAGAGAGATTTAATTCATAAGAACTTTAAGAACAACACATTTCCACAAATATACCTGTGTAGCTTGAACAGTTGGGGATGTCAGATCAAAGAAGCAAACTCTTCTCATGGGGTACTCTGCCTAAGGCACTTCAGAGATCTTTGTACTTTGGACTTCATAAAAGAAGCATATAGTACTGTATACTGTACTGTTCATTCAGTACGTCTGGTGAATATTGTTGGACATAAATGAAGCTCACAAGGTACTAGGCACATAAGGCATTATTTGCAATCCTGTTGGTAACATCTTCTCATGCCTAAGAAGACACTGAGGACTGGAGCTTGCCTGTGGCTGTGTGCATATTCCATCCATCAGGTGAAGTCAAGTGCGCTGTGCAGCCAGGATCAGCTGTCAGGACAAAAGTGTTGCTGCTAAGCTCCTGTCAGCTCCTGTTCCTACATTTATATGCCAATACTCATGGGCAGAGCTACCGGATGGTTGATATTATTTGGCCGAGTAGTATTTCCTGAAGGCTGGGCTTCCTGCTGCTACTGAGATATGAAATCTTTAAAGGACTATGGGCCTCCCACTATGCCCTCTACGTGGCTGGAGTGGAGATCATTGTTAATTTGCTTGCTGAGACTCAGAAAACCTGTGATCTGCGGTGTGTAACAGCTTCATGCCCAAGTAACATAAACGGTTTTCAATTAATTTCACCACTAGTTTCTATAGTGTCTGTATTTTATGAACAGCGGGGCACAGAATTGTTTTAAACCTTCAAGCTTTAGGTTTTTTCATCTTGACAGTTTTTTTTCGGTAAAACGGCTCAAGTACAAATCTAAACCTTGATTCTCCCCCCCAGAAATAAAACTGTACTCCTCTTTCAGATTTTTCATTTCTAAACAGAGAGCGTTTGGTTAAGTAAGAGCCTTTCATCTATTACCTTATGTTTGTGTCTCCATGGAAACCTGGATGCTTGCTTTTTCTTTAGTCTTCAGGGCTTTCAGCTAACGGAACTGTCTGCATGTGTGCAAAACGTAAAAAAAAGAACAACGTAAAAAGTAACAATACTGTACATAATCAAATGGGTTTACTCCTCTGAGAAGCTTACTGTTTTACAGACTGTGAAATACCATTGTACAAAAGTTTCTGTGACATTTAGAGAATTCTGAACTCTTGTGACTGTACAGTATATTGGATTTCATTACACATCTATTTTGTTGAAAGGCAGACCGAATGAGCAGTGAATTAATCCCAGAACCCAGCTTCATGGATTCTGGTTCCAAGTCACAGGCTTTATCTTCTCAAGATGTCTTCAGAAAACAATGGGCAAATAACTAGCTTGTCATTTTAGTTGTTTTACAACTAAATAACATGAGAAATGTTTCAATACCAGAGGAGGCCATTCAGCCTGTGTTCTGGTAGTTTAGCAAAATATTAAAGGAATTTAATATTTTGTCCAGCTATTTCTTCACGAGAAGCCTGTTCCAGATACCCACAATGCTCTTTGTTTCCTGTTTTCCATCCAAAATAAACTGCCTTTTAATTTCCAGTTTTGATCCCCTGTCCTTGTTTCACTTCTGAGTGTGAAACAGTCCCCTTCGTTGAACTTAGCTACACACTGTAGTGTTTTATATACTCAAGATAAATCTCCTTTGTTCTAGACTGAAGAGATTAAGCTTCCTTGAACCATCTATATAAATGGCAGTTACAAATAGAGGAAATCTTTCTTGTTGCTTTTTTTTATTTCTTTCAACCAAACCAAAACTGAACACAATTTTCTAAATGAGATTCTAGTAGTTCTTTCTTTGAATGTAGCTTGCCTTGGATTTAATTTCCACACTTTTTTCTATATACCCAAACATTGTTTCTTGTTTACTGTTTCACCACATTATATAAAATTGGACCTAGAACAAAATACGTGAACACCTAGATCCCATTCACCAGAGGGTATTCAGTGAATTTTTGTGGAAAACATCAGACTTCACAGATTTACTATATTTCTCCTCAATTTCCAAGAGAGCTGTGCCCTGACTTTCCAATAAATCTTTGCTCTTTAACAGATAATGATTGCTTTCGTACTGCTCATCTCAGATAGTAGGCAGATCTGCAAGTAAGTGAATGTTTGTTTCAAACTTTGCTCCTTGTTTGTCTTTCTGCAAAGGTACAGGGTAACTTATTCTCCACACATAATGCAGCAGAAACGTCTTCATTATGAAGCAGCATTGTGAACTTTACTCCAGACTTTACTTGTATTTTGGATTGTTTACTTTGTGGTGATAGCCACTTCGGGTTATTGATTAGATTCTGAAATCAGAATAACTCCTTGAGTTTGGATTCCCTCTAAACACCTGACCAGATAAGCATGAAATCTGAATGCTTGAATTTTGACTTGTGTGCGTGGCTATACATGCACAAGAGACTCAGCCCAAATCATTTGACATACTCTGTAATAAATCAGTTCCTTTTCAACTAACATTGAATGGCAGATTCAGGGGAAACTGTTTATCCATGATTGTTGCTTTTAATTTCGTTTTGAAAGGCAGAAGAAGAGCAATCTTAAAGCATGGCTTTCGTTCTTGACTCAGTATTCACGGTTGCTAATGGTTTTTACAGAACTACTGTTTCTTCTTTCTGTATCGCAGACAGGTGCCCCACCTAAGTTGAGTGCATGCTGCCCTCTCGTGGTTCACAGGCGAATAGCATTCGTTACATTCACAAATAGGAAGTTAAAGACATCTCTTTTGTACTGGTTTTTCACGCCATAGGATTCACATCATTACTAGCTATTTTCATTTCAGAACACAGCATTTCACATAAGAACAATTCCTCTGGTCTCAGTGCTCAATTAAGAGGGTGTGGTTTATTAGCCTTTAACAATGCGGTGCTGTTGTTACTACTGTTGTTGCTGTCTCTTTTTATAAGGGATTCGCTACCCTTTGTAGAAAAGCAAATACTCAGAAACCAGAAGGAGCTACTAAGATCCAAGCCTTGCGAACAATTTGCAGGTCAATTTGCAATAGATATACTGATCCCAACAGAGCTAAGCAAGGCTGAGCCTGGTCACTGGTACTGGAACTGACCAACCAGAAAAAACAGGTTGCAGGCACCATTAGGTGTGGCTCTTCGATCAGAACTTCCCACCAGTGCCCCAAGTGTAGCAACTCGGAACACAATGATATAGAAGGTGCCATCCTTTGTTTATAATCTTAAACTCCAACATTGACTTTTTAGGCATTAATATGCCATTGGACTGTTGTAAGAGTAGAGGTGTTATCCTGGTCTCCTTGCTGAGTTTCCTCTGGGCTCACAGACTGTATCCATAAACTAGCCCTGAATTCAGAAAGTTAAGCTATCTCTCACATCTCCTCCTGATCGCAGTACTGTGGCTGCTGGTGCCTACTGCTCATCATCCCAGAGTTTACTGCACTCCGGTGGTGGACGAAGAGGTTCCCCTCCTATGCATATAAAGTGCTTTGGGATGTGTGCTATAAATGCAAGGAATTAATAGCTCTTGATCTTTTCCAATACAGGAGGTACAATAAACGGCCTGTAGAAATTCACATGTATAGGCATACTGTTTAAAAATGTGTATATTAGAAGTGCACATTGCACATTCGTACAGTATGTTTGAAGTTTCACATCCCCCTTCTTTGATTTCATCCGTATTCACACAGCTGTCAGGAGTGCTCAGACATGCTTTCTCAAAGACTTAAAGCCACAAAAGCATCCGCGACAGCAACAGCCTAAATGAAAGAATCAGTGAGGTTTTAGCATTGATGAAAAACTTCCTTCTTGATTAAAGTTCAACCAAAAAAGATGAACTATTTGAAACTTTCATATGGAACTTCATGTCTACCTGGATTTCTTAGGAAAAGAGAAAAAAAAGCATCCTAAAAACTACCTACAACCGAGTTTGATTTGACAGGCTCTGTAGGAACGAGGCCATATGATGAAGATTCATTCCTCAAATGCGTTCCTAAAACTACACCCATTTACTTAACTATTTCTGAAGAGGGAATTTCAATTACTGCTATTTTAAGAAAATGTTGTAAAACAGTACAGAGGGCTCTGTGTAAAGTCTGGAAATTCTTTGAAAATGTGACTTGTGATTAATGTTCAACTACATTTCAGCTGGGCACAAATGAGTCTGCTTTTCCCTCAAATCCTAAATTTAGGCAGGCTGGAACAGAAGAGCACGTCAACTTACTTAGCTGAAATTTTCACAAAGCCTCTATTTATGATGCAATGTGACACTTTGCCCAACAGATCGCTCTTACCATAAATTGTAAGTGCGTGACTACATTGGTTAGTGTGTGACAGATAGCCACATTGACCCCATGGTGTTTAAAGCCATGTTTAAAATTAAACAAAGCTGACCAGAAGCACAGAATAACTTTTCTCCTACAATAACAAAACAGGGGACATGAAAGACAAAGCAAGCTCTCTGAAGAATGCCCAGTGAATTACCAATACAACAATCAGCAAACTGTATACTCTAGTAAGCTAACAATGTTAGCAATGTACTTAATGATTTCTGAGCCTTTTCATGCTCATAGCTGCTAAGCTTCTCCACTTGCTTAAATTTTGTTGTTAAATATACAGCATATCCACTGCCCAAAGAGAATGTGACCACACTGACAGTGAAGAACTGACATTATTGCATATCTACTAAATACAGTATAATGCACATTTTATGTAATTTGACAACCTACAGTTGTCGTACCACAATAATCAGTAACATTACATATTGGTCTTTAAAATAAAATCTTATTTTAGACGACGGATACAAAGAACAACAACCAGGTTAAATGTATAAACACAGTAAAACCTTAAACACTAGTGTAGTGCTGCTAAAAAAATGAATTATAAAACGGATGTCTAATTTACCATTTCTTTTAATTCCACACAATGAAACACTCAGATTTCAGGTTTCTGGTAATGTTTTATTAGAAATACAAGATGTATTTAATACTGTTGCACACAAGGCATTCAGAACATGAGAGAAACAAGGCAGCTTTCACCCTCAGCACGTCTACTCCAGACATTAGTGTTAATTCAGCTCTGTGCATGTCTCGATTAGAGATGGGCTGGAAAACTAAATGGCAACTACAATTATACTGCAGTGACGGAGAAAACATCACACTGACCTACAGACTGGAAAATGTACTTTGAGAAGCAACAGTATTTGACGGGAATATTTGCACTAAATACTGGTCATGCTATCATTAGGTCAGTGCATTCTGTACTTCATATCCCAAACTGGATTTGGTATTGCTAGCAAGTTTAACTTCAATATATCTATGATTGAAGATATGATTCAGAGCTTCCAAAGGCAATCCAACTGTATAATGTAGAAGATCTTCTAGGAAGGGGTTTTGAGCTTATTCAGAAAACTAGGCACAAATTGACTAACTCTACACTGCAATATCAACAGTCCCCACAGATATGTCTGAACATCAGATGGCTGAAACTGCAGTGTTAGTAAAAATATTCTTAATGTTCTAAAAGGAAACAAGAATTTAAATACCAGGCAGCTACACACCCAGGGACAAGAATACAGATTGAAATTAGCAACTGTCACATTAATACCAATCCCCAGTTGGAAATAGAGATTTTATTATCTTTTCTGGTAGAACTCTAGTGACTCAAAGCAGCACCTTCGGAGTCTAAGGTTAAAGGCAGCACCCACACTCCTGTATTTAGGATTTCTTCTAAAGAAAAAAAAAGTAATTTCTGAAATTTTTTCACATTTCTACTGGTGATAGTACAAGCTTCTTTGAATATGCATAGTATTGATTTGTTGACCTTGCTTTTCCATCTCTGTGTAGAAGATCTGTAAACTGTATGTTACACTGCAGTACCATAAACACAGCAAGTGGTCGCTTAAGCTAAAAGGGTCTGAAATCTTGTGTCATTTAGTTCTTCCTCCATCCTTCCTCACAGAGCCAGTTAGGCAGCGCTGGAGACAGCAAGTTTCTTCAAGTGATCCATAAACACCTGCAAGCTGACATCATCAGTGAGGATTGGAGCTCCAGATTCCTGAAAAAAAAAACAGGTAAAACAGGTTCAGTGAGTACGTCTGCTTACGATAACAGAGCCCACAGTCACTTTGTGATTGCCACTACTTGCTTTTCCTGTTTCTTGCATATCATCTTTCCAGCTAACACTGTATGAAATAACACCACACAATCTCTAAAGCGTTTCTATCCTAAGCCAAGAAATCTTTGGTTTTATGCTTTTCATTCTGAATTTATAACGCCATCACATTACTCAAAAAGCTGACTCAGCATAACAAACTGAGCTGAAAAACTAAATGACCAACATAGAACAAATAAAGTTATGAAAAGTTATATAGTCATCTTAAGAAAATCATTTTTCAACTTAGAAGAATCAGGGATCAGTACAAAGAACCTGTTAGACCCTTTCAATAAAAGAGCTTTAGAAAATGTAAACAAACCGCAGTGAGCATTAACTTATTATAAAAAGGAGGATTCTAAAATGACAAATCTTGCACAACAGTCTTCAGCAACAATGAGATTAATCAGATGTTCTCATGACGATTGACTTACAATGCATAGCCATACTGACATTTTGTGCACTGCGAAAACACCCAGTTGCCCTCATGACACTGTACCATTTAAAACGTACGTCTCTCTTATTTCCTTACCTGACCCCACGCGTACATGTTGTTGTGGGTCTGTGAGGGATTGACTTTTGATAACAAGAAACGAGCCTGTGCAAAAACAAAGGCAATGACATGTTTATTACGCTCAAATAGTGGGTTTATAAAATTAAACTTTAAACCGTGCGAGGTTTTTAAGCACATGCCAGTTAAATGTGCAGCAAATGCACTTGAGAGAAAAGAAGGTCATTTCCAAACAAATCTCCTCGTATTGTGACAAGGAATAGAAATGAAAAGAAAAAGATAAAGAAGTGCGGGCCCCGGAAAGAACATTCAAGGGCCACGATGACGACTCAAACATGAAGCATGGCGGGGTTGGTTCTCCGTGCCTCACCTGGCTGCCTCCATGCTCCGTGTCGATGTACCTGGGCATCGGGAACCGGCTGTGCAGAATCTCCTGCGCGTCGTCGACTGGTGCTTGCAGCAGGTGCCGGAAGTTTTCGTATTCTGGCATGTCCTGGTAGCCAGCTTTGCGCCACTGAGCTACTGTCTTAATAGTCAAGAAACTTCAGACATTCATTTCTCTGCATTTACACACCTATATATTTAACTAACTGCAGCTTCTCAGCTATGGTCTAACTCTTCTTACAAGCTCAAAAACGTTCAAATTGTAAAGGAAATCAAAACACATACTTCTGCAATCAGAAACTCTTATTGTCCCAGTGGCACTGAATCAGCAATTTGAAGGCACCTACTGGTGCAAGTCTGTAGGAAAACTGGCTTATGATAACATATTTATTCACAGGCAGTTTATGTTGCGCCACTGTCTGTAATTTTCTAGCAAAAAACTCTATCCTTCTTTGAGTGGTAGCTCTGCTTTCATCAATTCTTCAAATCGTGTCAGTCTACTTTAGTTAACTGCAGTACTTTGAAGCCTATTCAAAAACAGAGAGCTTTCATACTGTACATTAAAGGATTTTAATGCTTTCCCTAAAACAACACTTTGGAGCATAACTTTTGTACATCAGGCCTAATTTAAACAAACTTAATTAGTTATGATTTAAAAAGAAGCACTTTGGGATTTCTGAATTCCCTTAGAGATTTATTTCTTCCAGTGTTGTTCCTGGACATGGACTAATCTAACAGCTGGAAAAGCACGGAAATAATTTGGATAAAACAGGCGGCCCCTACCTCTCCATGGTAAATGAGAATTTGGAAGAAGGTGTCCATGAGGAGAATTCGATCTGGGAGAATGCTGCTACTGTCTAACAAAACAGGCTAAAAAAAAAAAAAATGTATCAGTATTCTCCCCAACATGAGGATCTTCGCTTGCAGCAAAAGGCAAAAGCAATCAGTTGCTCAGATGCTGAACACACACACACTTTGCAAAGTACCCCATGGCAAAGATGTTTAAATTCCTAGCTACACAAAATATACAAATAAGCATAATTTATTGCTCAAATAGTCTTTGAGCAAATTACTGTAATCCTTTTTTACAGGGATCACCATAGCTCAAGAAGGGCAGACAAGCACTCACCACTAATTAAAAGTGGTGATATTTAGAATTTACAACTAATTACACATTTTTATTTGGCTTGCTGCTTTTGTGCACAACAGCTGGGTATTTTACTGGAACAATTCAGGAAAAGCACTTTGCTCAAGGGTAAACTAGCAGTGTCGCACCTGCGATTTCAACCCACTGCTTATCAGTATAATACAATGGATCAGGTTCCTTAACACTTAAAGCTTCTCACACAGAGTCTAAACAGGAGCAAATATGGACAGAACACTAACTGATGCATCACAAGCTTGCTTCTTTACAATGTAATAAGGCCTCTGCAATTCAATGCATGTTTTGTTGCCCTGTTCTGAATCACAAAATATGGCACTGCACATACCTGGAATTTTGTTTCCTTTTTAAATGTAAATTGGAGGTTTTACACCTTACTGTGTAAATTTTACTTTCACTGTGGTTTGAAATAATAATAATAATAATAATAATTGCTTACACTTATATAGCGCTTTTTTGGACACTCCACTCAAAGCGCTTTACAGGTAATGGGGAACCCATCTACCACCACCAGTGTGCAGCCCCCACTTGTGGCTTTCAGTGGGGAGGAGAGCAGAGTAATGAAGCCAATTGATAGATGGGGATTATTAGGAGGCCATGATTGGTAAGGGCCAATGGGAAATTTGGCCAGGACGCCGGGGTTACACCCCTACTCTATTCGAGAAACACCCTGGGATTTTTAATGACCACAGAGAGTCAGGACCTTGGTTTTACGTCTCATCCGAAGGACGGCGCCTGTTTACAGCACAGTGTCCCCGTCACTATACTGGGGCATTAGGACTCACATGGACTGAAGGGTGAGCGCCCCCTGCTGGCCCCACTAACACCTCTTCCAGCAGCAACCTTAGTTTTTCCCATGAGTCTCCCATTCAGGTACTGACCAGGCTCACACCTGCTGAGCTTCAGTGGGCTGCCAGCTGTGAGTTGCAGGGTGATATGGCTGCTGGCTATGAGTGAAATGCACTCATCAATGCTGATTCTTTCGAACCCCGACACATAAAATTAGCGTTGCAGTTCCTCTTTAACAGTATAGCTGAGACTCAAATTCCCCTACATCTTAAGTGGATAGTATGATGTTGTCCAAATTGCGCCATCAATGATAAAGCACACTGCAGTCCCCTGAGAAAAGATCTGCTATCAAATTAACAATTGTCCAGTTACCTCTGGTGGCCCGTTGAAAGAGTAAGCATAAAGAATAGGCTGGATCATGATGAGGGACTGGGTCAGGTCTTGCCTCATGAACTGGTGTCTGTAGTACGAGCTCTCATCAGGGCTGTTATTAAAAACTTGCAGGAACGGGGATCTTCTTAAGTGAAACATGAACTACAAAAGAGAAAGTTAAAAAACTGAATCTTTAGAGTAACTATAGAATCGCTTTTCTGCAATGATATCATAAACTGCAGTTAACTATTCTGCATCTGCCACGATATCTAAATGATATGATCCTGCACATCTGAAAGAAGAAGAAGAAAGTTCTTGCCAGGGCTAAAAAAAGAAACTTGTCTGTCATTTCTTCTTTCTTCTAAACTGAACAGGCAGATAAAGTATATATCAGTCTAGGTGTAGCATAATAAATTCCTTTACAGTACTGTGGAGGTTTTCTCTTGAAAGATAAAAACACTGTTTTATAAAGCAACCCAACATACATTACCTGGGGATAGAGAGAGAAGGTTTCAGAGAACCTAAAAGAATTGGGGTCATCTTTGTGGTAATCTCCAAACTTCTGACACTAAAACAAAAAGAAAAGTTTTAGCTGTTCCACACAAGCTGTGCAATCAATGTGATGAGAGTGGAAACGTCAGTAATTTCTGTAGGGAAAAACTTGTTTACAGACCAAGACAGCCGTCATGCCCTTTCAGTCTGCGTGCCTTAGTAAAGACAATTATATTACGTTGCTAGTCATCTGTCAGACTGTATCTCATTAGGCTATATTGCATCTTCATTATGCCACAACACTTTACTTATGTTCACTCTGTAACTTTGTTACGGCTGCCTAATAAATTTAGATACCTCACTGTACGCTGTAATTTTAAGCCGCCTGGAATAAACATCTGCACAATCGATAACAACTCAGTCGCCACTTCCCCCTGTGGTACTAATGACAGGAAGCGAGAACCGCCGAGCGCGCGCTGGGAGCGCTCGGCCGCCGCCCGGGCGCACGTACCAGGCGGATGAGCTGCCGGTCCAGCCAGCGCAGCACGTCGGGGCCCTCCTCGCTCTCGGCGCGGAACACGGCCAGCCTGGCCATGAGGATGGCCGAGGCCTCCTGGTCGAAGGAGGCCGCGATGCTCTGGATCTGGGTCTGCGCGTCCGCCCAGCTGCAGCCGGGACAGGGGCAGAGGGGAAGCAGGTCAGCGGAGAGAGCAGGAACACCCTGCCCCGTTTCGCACGGGGCTCTGGGCGAGCGGCGCGCTAGGTGCACACCTTCCCCGAGCCCTCAGCGACTTCTTCAGCGTTTACCGACAGATTCCGCCTCCCAAACCTCCACTGGAATTCATCTCCCAGATTTCCGTCTCACTTCCCTATCCATCTTCGCGTTTTCTTCCGTTCTCCCGGCTTCATATCCCTGCTCTCTCTCTCTCTCTTTTCAGTGTGGAAGTGACTTCACTTGTTCCAAACCCTCAGCAGGTTTAGTCTGAGCCTGTTATAATGCTTCATTATTATCACTAATATAGGTAGGGGCCACATGAGCACAGCGAGGAACTATTCAACCTCTTCCCCGGCGCACAGGCACTGTTGTGTCACAGAACACACATTTCCACATTGGGGAAGATCCTTCCCAGAGTTTACCCACTAGCCCCCACATAATCCTGTTAAATGATGTCCTTGTAACAGTTTTCAACCACATTAGCTTCATACAATTATCCAGGTTTTAAAGGCCCGCTGTTTTATTTCTCATTGAAAGTCGTGTTTAAATTTGTACTTCTCAGCACAATATTCACTCACTGCAAGCCACCACAGAAGGACTTGTTAGTCCTTCAACCTGCTTTCGCTCGTACAAGTATGAACAGCTGGCATCATCTATTTATGACGTATAATGTTGAAGCCCCTTAAGCTATAGGTATAAGTATAAGTATAACCAAATCAAAATACTTTCTACTGCTAGCCTCAGTAATAAATATCTAATCAGGCTCATAACGAAGTATTAGTCTTAAAATGGAATATGGAGTAAGGATATATGACCCTCACATATATTTCTATACATGTTTTTTTTCTGTTTTAAATCAGCATGATTTTTTATCATGGAGCGCATTTCATGTACACCACCTGCCACCGAAACACAGGATCCCACAGTCTGAAAATCGTGGGGGGGGGGGGTTCTTTTTTGACTTTTTCAAACTGGGAAGCCCAGAAAAATCTGTTCTTTCTAGAAAAAAAATGTTTTTAAGTCTACAACGAGATGACTAATCCTTTGGTATCCTCTCTTGGGAGACAGACTACAAGATCACAAAGCTTCCCTGGAAGGTCGGTGCCTTTTCTTCTGAAGTAAACAGGTGTTCCCATGGAAACGGAGTGAAATCAGCGCAGATCCACAATTAACCTGCTGCAATTACGACTGAGGAAAAGTACACCAGGTGACGTGCATCATGGAGCCAGTGTTATCCAGGTATGTCAAAGAAAACGAGGCAACCGGCCCCTTCCAAAGTCTCGTGAAACACTAAAAAAATCAAAGTCTTGAGTCTTACAGTTTGGAAATGAGATCACTGGTCCCATAAGAAAATACAGTATTTGCACCTTTTCTTTACCATTTTGGAAATATTACCCAAGTTTTGTTTTTTTTTGCTGAGATTAAACCTGAAATTTGCAAGTTAACCTTGTCCACCCTTACAATCTTGATCTTCCCCAGAGATTGGAGAGGCCCTGTGCCATCTAAAGCTGCCCACAGCCAGCAGAACGAAGACTGTTCTGTTCCAGCGTTTTATAAAGACAGTACATTCATTTATGCCGTACACTCTCAGCATGTGTTTAACAGGCAATCTGGCCTGCTTCAATACAGCAACAGCTGACTTCTATTAACAAGAGCAAGACATTTCTTTGCAAGTAGATCAGCTGAGCCTAGATGGCAGAGATCTTTGATCTGAAACAAATGCCAGGGAGTAAACAAAGTATCACGTTGAATGCAGTTTTCACATTTTCGAATATCGAGCCACAGGAAAATGATGCACATGGTGATGATGCATATATCTATTAGGAAATTTTGACTTTGTAGTCCTGTTTAATTAATGTTTTCAAATGCCAACCATCTTCCAAACGACTCTTGGTAAGTGTGAGGTTACATACCCATTTGGATAACTCGGAAGGCCATTAAAAAAAGCACTTGGAAATGTTTGAGATCAAATTGAGGTTTTCAAAAGAAAGCCTCATATCTTTAAATACCTTTCATATCCAGGTAATTGAACCACCCCAGAATGCATTAGTTTAAGTGGCTGAACAATAATGGTCTCGTACAATAATGTGGACCTACTTTCTGGCAATAGTGGTGACTCTAATGCGCCTCTGGCCACTGGAGTGCTGATACTGGGTCACAAACTGCACCGCACCGCGGCCACCTTGTGGTATCGGGGCATTATGCTGCAAAAGAAACAGAAGAGGATGTTGGGGAAATGCTATAAATAATGCAAAACACATTAGCAGTACAACGTAATTGCAAATAGTAATTGCTATTTTATTCTAATGACTGATCGGAAAAAATGGAAGAATCTAGCAAGGGAACCACGAACAGTGAGCACATCCATGTAGCGCTTGAGGAAATGGCTATGTTAATTCAACAAACACATTCATCGAGAGCTTGTCCAATTCACAGTGTGTGTGTGAGAGAGACAGGAAAACAAAGCCAGTGCAGTTCACCGAAAGTAAACCGTCTTGCGACTTAATTTCATGTTAACCAGTGATTGATCAGCTCTGTGCCTCCGGTTGACTGCAGAGAGTTCTTATTTGTCACTTGCTCAGGAACACAAAACATTTTTCAGATATTCAGTCCCTAGTTTTGTTTTCTGTAACATTAAAGCAGCGATCTGAAAAGTCAGCAATGACAGCCAACCCAAGTGGTATTGTTGTAAATAAGAAGGCATAATTTGGAACGTTAACAAAACGTTAACAAAATCTTAAATTAGACTTTTTTTAAATACACGTTTATCAACAAAAGCTAAGGGACGTTTTCTTTTCCACTTTTATTACAATACTAAGTCAAGGCTAAAATATACAGTATATCTAAGTAAGGCTCCCTTTATGAGGTGGTAGAAAAAACTTGGCATTAAATAAAAAGAGAAAGAAAATCCCTCTTGAATTAGACAAATAATTACTAAAAGGTTACGGGCTATTCAAGAAAATAATGTTCTGGGCTAAAACTGACTACATTTTCCCCAGTTACCGACATTATACAGTTAATTTAAACAATGGATGTTTCTAGCTAATACTAGGACATTATTTTTTCCAACAGTTTCAGACTACCCGATAGCTGCAGGGTTTTTAATCTTTTCATTTAGCTGCTAATTTAAAATGTTATCTTCCCCATGCCATGTGATTTGTCAGGGCCAGAGGCTAAGGAACATGACACAGAGAAGATCTTGAAAAACTGCTCACAATACCCAACGCAACAAAATTTACTATTTATCATTAAAATAATACAATGAAAAACATGAAAAAGCAGGTCACAAATGTTTAGCCTTAAACATTCCTTCTTTCTTTGGAGAACTAATGTTTTATCTTTTGAAATTAAGGTTTGTTGTCATAGCAGCCTAGACAAATTATTCCACATCAAAAACAAGATTACTCCCTGATTAACCAATACTAAGCAATAACTATACTAATACATGCTGTTTTAGACACTACTCCACACAAAGAAAAACTTCCACAACCGCCATAATGAGGACGAAGGATAATTGGTAAGCAAGCTCAGAAAAAAATGCCACTGATTAGAAATAAAATAAGCTGATTTAATATTGTGCTTCCTGCCAATTAATTTTAAAATCCTCCACTGGAAAATATCAGCATTCCCTACATTTAATTAGCTTCAAAGCAGCTGAAAGAGCTGCTTGCTATTCAATAGTTTTTACAACTTAAAATCTGTGACAATGAGAAGGAATACTTTAGAATAAAAACAGTCATTAAATAAGACTATTTTGTAGAACAACCAGGCTACTTAGAATTTATAAGAGCTGTTATTTACTTTTCCACTGGTACCATAAAAGTTTCACTATCTAGTTTAAAATATAGCCTTAATCTGTGTATCAGGAGAAACACATAAGGTTATTATTTGGAAAATCAACAACAGGTATATTGCTATAACAATAAAAAGCTTGCAATCATATATTGACTTTGCAGATCTATCAGTGAAAGGGTTAATTTTTTTCTTCATCTCTGCTAACCCCTGGCTGAACTTAATCCAGCTGCATGGGGGCTGTTCCACACTATATCCATGGATCTCCACAACTGTCTTCTACATTAACACACCACTACTGAGGAAAGCAGGACCGTCTTCAGGATAAACTGATGCTATCACTGAATCCAAATAAGTACAAATTCTTTTTCAAATGACCTAAACACAGGGACATTTTTTTCTGTCTCTGTTAGTTAACGATGCCACTGATTGCTCTCCTTTATGCTTTGGCAATGATAACTACCAGCATTGGATCGGTGTGTGGGAACGTGATGTTGCTTCTGGTAGTCGCCTTCAATACGAAACTGCAGACGGAGACGTGGGCTCTGACTCTGAACTTCTGCATATGCGACTTGATCTTGGGGCTTTCTGCAATTCCATTTGGGATTCACAACAGCTTGTCCGGCGTGGAAGGCTACGATACCAAGAGCATACTCTGTCAGTCTAATGCTTTTGTGTATGTGCTGCTTCAGCTGGCTTCTGTTCACTCCTTGACTTGGGCTACAATAGACAAGTTCACCGAAATCTGCTTTGCTCTGCAATATGCTCAGCTCTTCACCAAGAAAAGGACTTGGGTAATCCTCTCCTTTCTGTGGATGTACTGCCTCTTAAATGCGTGTTTTCCTTTCATGGGATTTGGGTCATACAGATATAGCGAAAACAAATTCATCTGCATGCCGAGGTTTCAACCATCCAGTAAGAGCTACAGCATAATAATAATAGTAATCGGAGTCATCATTCCCATAATGATAATGTGTTCACTTTACATTTATATCGTGTACATCGCAAGAAACCAAGCTCTGCGGGGAACATTCGTCTGCAACGACCAGCACTGTTACTATGTACCAGCTAACAATTACATCAGGAGCTCCATAGTCATGATATCAACAGCAGGTATGTTTTGTTTTATACACAAAAGGTGAGCAAAAGAATAAAAAGAACCTTTAAGGGCATTTGTTATGATGAGAGAGCTAAATGCTGTTTAAGATGCTCATGCCTATTTTCTAGTTTTCTTATTAGCAAGAGAGGAGAAAAAAAAAGCAGCACACACTTCCTTCATTTTGTTTGGACAGCACTTTTAAGTAACAAGCCACAATTCTGATCATGCAGGGAGCAGCAATAAGAATCTTCGTAAAGGGAAAAAAATGTTTTTGAATACAGGCACAGATCCTAAATCTACAAAATGTCTTCATAACTTAGTGTTATAAAAAAGTTAACAAAAGTCCATGTTTAGTAAATACTAAACAAAGCAGAATCCAAGAAATAAGTCCAGTTCTTTGTTGCACCAGTAAATCAGATCATTTGCGTAATACAGCACATATCACATACAGTACAAAGAGCTATGGTTTTAAAACAGCTCAGGCTCATTTATTATAGATTTCAAGGTTAAACTCATGTCACCCCAATAAACAGCTATAAAAAATTGATCAGAAGTATTCATACGCAGGGGACAATAAGAGCTCTATCCTGCGGTTCTGATTTTTAATTTGTTTTCATTTACACTTCACCAACTGACTTATGTAAACGATACAAACAAGTCGGGACAAGCTGTCTTAAAAACATTGCTAGATTCATACAGATGATAAGGTCTGATTTATAAAAACAAGGATGCACAGTCATTTAAATAAAGCATTTACTGGCATTCTTCAGAAAAATACAGCCCCCCAGCCCTGATTCTAATGTTCCATTTCTCCCTCTCCCGCAGTATGCCTTCTAGTATGCTGGATGCCGTACATCACTGTTAGTTTCTTTGAAACCTTTACCGAATACAGCATTCCACCTGTGGCTGATGCAGTTGCCACCTGGCTGGTATTGCTAACTTCTGCGTTAAATCCCTGGGTGAACTCTATGACACAAAAGTAAGTGCTTTACTACCAACATGGATGCATGTACCCATTTCATTTCTTTCAACCAGCCATTGCTTGAAAACAGTGCTTTGCTTTAAAGAAAATGTAAAAAATACACAGAGCCACAAAAAGTAAACTAAAAAGAGACTACAGAAACACCTGGATATTTGAGAATCTAGAAAGGTATTTCTTAAAAGGCAGACCGCTTTGAGCTTTAGTTCCACCCCTTCAGCATCAGAAACCTGCTCAGTCCTAGTAAAGGTCAGAGTGATTTGAAAGGATAGGGTATGAGGTGGGATTACAGCCCAGACTGAAAGCCAAGGCACCACAGCACACTTGCACACAATTTACAGATTCCAGCTGACCTAACCGGCCTGGTAAGAAGAGAAACCAGAGCAGCTTTGGTATTTGTATGCTATTTTAAAGTGTGTAAAGCACTTCCTTCCAGTCAGGCTAATGGCTCTTTCACTTCAAACCGTTTCAGGAAGTACAGAAAAGCACTGCGTGGGAGTTTGAAGAAGCTTAGGCAACGGTTTCAACAGCCCATAAAAAACTCCTTTCCACAATCCCGAAAAATGAACCACAGCTCCGAGCCACAGACATCCATCCCTGGAAGTGTAATGCTCACCTCCATTCAGACATGAAACAAGGATTCTCCACTAGTGGAAACAGGGATCTGACAGCTGCTGCTGCTCTGAGGCCAAAGAAGGCAAGAGTTAACTGAATTAAAGCAGTTTCCAGGGTGGATACCATTGAAGTCATGTACAAGACACCTAGAAACACAGCTGCAGAAATAAACGCACTGTTAGACGTCCTTTCTTATTACGGGAGTAAGAAAGCAGGAACCATATGGCATTATTTCTCTCAGCTACATCAGACTACTGAAACGGGTTACGTTTAACAATAGTTAATCGGCTAAATCTTACAACCATCTCAGATAAATGAAGGAGTTACAAGTTGCTGAAGCACAACTTCACCTACAGCATTCAGATTTAATATACTGTCTTTGATACAAATTAGTACACAGAGGAATACAAAGTATCTGAAAACACTTTTAAAAAGCATTATAACTTTATCTTGGATGTAAAAAGTCTTACTTTAACATTTACACCAGGAATTCTGCATCTAATGCGTGTTTGTGTTATATTATAAATTTCAGTATGACAGGTGCATACTTTTTTATATAAAGGGTCATTGTTAAAATAAAAAGGTAATGTTTTTCTTGAATGTATGCAAATGTTTGGCTTGATTAATATTTCATGGCAGAGGAATACATACAAATAGGAATACATAGTGAAAGCCAATAGTTCACTATTTTTAAAAGAAACAGATGTATGCAATTCATCTCTTTTACTGTAGTAGTCTTTGTACTGTTGTGTTTAAAACTCAGAAAGTGATGTATTCGGATTACAGAAGCAGTGTAAAACTGTTTAGGGCTCTAGCCTTATACTGTACAAGGTTGTTGGCCTCAAATGCAAGTTGCTTTTAAAATTAGATACAAATAAAAAAGTCATCAACCAAACAAACAAATCTCATGAAACTTTCTAAGTTGCCACTCCAGCCCCAATTCGTGTCATAACCCACAGACTAGTCTTAACCCCAATCCAAGTCTTAAATCTGAAAATTGCGGTTACATTTATGTTTAGTGATAATACTCCAGTAAAGAGGTCTCGGTCTCCCTGCAGAAGTGTCTCATACTGCTCATCTACATAAGAAGAGGAACAATTGTATAGAAATGTTTTTTTGCTCTGGTTTTTGAACAAATAAAAGTATGTTACTGTATCCTTACTTTTGATTATTGCTTTAAGTATAAACAACTCATTATACAGAATTGCTTAAAATGAAATTAAATTCCTCTTTCATTGTGATTTTAATTTCGGTTTACAATGCTTCTATAGGTGCAATTTAATTTACCACTGTTCTCGATAAAGCATTTACAATGTGTGCCACACACAAACATATTCCTCTATTCCACTTTGCACAAATTAAGTTACTGGAATATTAAGTGTGTAAATCTGACAAACGAAGGCCGCACAGGACGTTCGCAATTTACTAATTGGATTGGAAAGAGAGAATGGCAAACAGTACCAGTGTTATTGCATTAAGTGTTTATTAAGAATCATGAACTGATGTCAGTCAAGACATTCTAATGTATAAACAAAACATGCTGATGAAGGAAACCTGCACAAAACTTTCTAATAACACCGGAGAAAATCTAATATTGTTTTTATATCCTTCATTACCACCAGTCTGGACATGAAACAGGCCACAGATTTCTGCCACGTAACAGTTCTTTCCCAGATAGATTCCGCAATACTGCACTCTAGTGGAGTACCACTGGAGTACCAAACAGGGATACGACTCGCTAGAAGGGTGGCCCTTAAGGTAAAGCCATTTTATTCCCCTTTAGGGCTTTTCAGATTATCGCCCCTAATTATCCTTAGGGCATTTCAGATGATCCCAGACACTCCAGTTATCGGGATCAAGGAGTAGTGACATTAAAATCAATCTATATTAAATGAAAGCAAGATTGTTGGAACAGAGGCTTTTCCCATACAATGAGCCCTGAAATCAATCAGATACTTTCTGGACCCGGCACCTCACTTAGGTGTCAAGACATTATCTGGATTTTTGCATTGCATTTTTAAAAAATGTTTGCCCAAGGATCACCACTCTAACTTTTCTCCCAGTTCCACTAACATTTACCACAATGTGGAAACTATTTTATTAACATACCTGGTTGACCACCTCAAAATATACAGCAAGAGTTGAGTTGTGATCAAGACCGCAAATCTTCCACTGGCAGGTGCCACCTGTTCCAATCTCCTTCAGGAATATAAGAAAACAAAGAATCTCACAAGTAACTTTCATTAATTATTCATTCTTATTTCAAGCACACTTTCTCAATTTCTCAGTTTGACTTTTTTAACTTGTAAAATATTCAGAATAAAAGTCTATTATCTTAAGTAAAGTTAACTGATACTTACATTTTCTGAGACACATGGTCCTTTAGCATTGAGTGATACACATGGTCCAATAGCCCCAGATATCTTTATTTCTCTTGATGTCTGTTTAAATAAATACAAGTTTTAAGATCATTTCAAGCACTGCAAATTACCATTTTATACCATACAGACTGAACACTTACTTCCAAACATGTCTTAAAAAATCCCTCTGTGCTACATCAGGCTAATGTTAATAGTAAACTAATAAGGGGCACTCCAAATTCATTAAAAAGCAAGCACAAAAAAGCCATTTTCTCCAACTTGTCTATTAAAGTCTTGATTAAAAACATTTCTGGACTATAAACATGCAGCCAGCCTCTCTGAATAATCAAAATCCCATATGAATACAACTTAAAGCAGAAAGGCTCTGATTCATCACCTTCAGTAAACTTACTTTTATTTCCAAAGTCCCGCCGAATGCCATTTTAAAAGACCCCTGCACGTCCTTAGTAAACACTCTCTGGAAGGTCTGCTTGAACAAAGACGTGTTGAAGGAATCTGCCATCACCATATAGCCTCTGAGAAGAACAGAGCACAAAGATGGTGAAGAGAGGGCCACCACATTTTCGATATTTATCACCTAAAAACATCTGATAAGAAGACTTCACAGCTGAGTGAAACTGAGCAAAATGGAACTTCAAGCTCAGTATTAAAACATGAAAACGCCTCTTATCGTGATCTAAATGATCCAATTGTCTCATAAAAGCCCTTAAGTGCGGTTTAAAGTAAAGTCAAAATTTCAAGGACATGAGAATTTTCACCCATCAATGCCACAAAACTCCACGAAAGAAACTACTCAACACCAGCTCCCCACACATCACCCCTGGACAGTCCCGACACACACAGCAGTGCTGAGGCGAACTGCCGATCTGACACTGCCTGGCAGTGTGTGCACACACAGGTAAGACCGTTCTGAGAGGGCCGACTGTAAAAAAGTATTTTTATGGGAAGCAGGCATGATGAGCACTGGAGAGGAGGTCCTCACAATGCAAATGACTTTCTTGCATTTTCAAAAAAACGATCCTAAAGCGCTACTGATACTGATTGCTCAGGGGCCCAAGAGAGGAATCCTACTCTCTTGGGCCCCTGAGCAAGGCCCTTAACCCCAACTGCTCCAGGGACGCCGTATGAATGGCTGACCCTGCGCTCTGACCCCAGGGACACTCTCTTAGTAAACACTCTCTGGAAGGTCTGCTTGAACAAAGACGTGTTGAAGGAATCGCCATCACCATATAGCCTCTGAGAAGAACAGAGCACAAAAATGGTGAAGAGAGGGCCACCACAATGAGACACTCTCCCTGCCTGAGTGTCTCATTGAGAGCAAGCTGGGATATGCGAAAAGACAAATTCCTAAGACAAGAAATTATATATGGCTTATAAAGTGATCTTATCTTATCTTAAACAGAATGGGACTCTCTAGTGAAGAAATATAAGTATATCTGTGCCCCGGGCCTCACCCTGTATAATTGGTACAGCACTTCATCTCCAGCAGTCCTGTCTGATCCAGAGCGCAGGCATAGATATCAATGATATGGCCGCTGTTTGAGGCTCTTGACGCCAGAGCCTCGTAGTGCTGCAAGACACAAGTGAGAGTTTACAAAGCATTGGAAGCGGACAGCAGAATCCCCCCCAGAGTTCAGATTAACAACCCAGGATCAAATAATTGTGTCCAGCCCACACAGAGCTGGAAAGTAATAGTCAGACCACATCTCTTTATACACAAGAGATAAGAGCAGAAGTGCTGGCGACTTAATCGCATCAAATAAATCATTGACATCCACACCTTGCTCCAAAGTACAAGGAACAGCAAGTCCGCTCATACAAACTGCAGGAGACCCCACACACACACACTGACTTACTTTAGTCGCCTTTTTCATGAACTTAGCATTGTCCTTCTCAATGTCATGCCAAGACCGGATGGGCGTCTTCAGTTCATCCCCCACGACCATCCCCGGACCCTGAGTGGCCGGCCCTCCGATGAACATCATGATGCGGCCGCCCGTGTTGGGAAAAGTGCACTGCAATCGGATCGGGGAATGGCAAAAGAAAATGGGATGAGAAGAACAAAATATACAACAAGACTTCACGAGTTTCTGTACGCCACGCCACAACTGGACACACTACTCTTACCGAAAAGGGCACAAACTCGTCGACCCCTGCGCCAACTCTGGTTACACTGACTCCTTACTCGGTTGGAAGACACCAGATTCCAGAAATGAATGGACGTCAGATCCTATCCTATGGGTTTTACCGGAGACTTCGACAACGATTGCGAGCTGAATCTGCAGACTGGGCTTGTTACCTCCAGCAGGCCGACCGCAATGGAAAGGGCCACTCCCGAAGATCGCAGGGGTCTCTTGCCTTGAGGAACAGGCCAGGGGTCACGCTGCAGCTCTCCCAGGAGGTCTGTTAAATTCATGTCGATTTTCTGCACGGGCTGCAGGAATCTGCAAAAAAAAAAACAACAACACCTAACTAGATAAGCTCAACCATGACAACGTGACGGGACACTCTTTTAAATCACACACCCATGCAAAACATTCAAATAACCTTGCAGCGTCTGGCCGATCACAGGTGTGATGTGCAATAGTACTCTGTGCTAAAGCACTTCCAGCCGAGTAAGACCGCTGCAGTGACGCTAGACCTGTCGGGCTGGCTGATTACCTGTTGGAAGGAGGGGGCTGCTGGACCTGCACTCCTCGCCCTGCTTGGGCTGCCGCTGGCTTAGTCAGGCCCAGCATCTCCTGGAAAAAGGAGGAGTACGACTGAAAAACCTCTTACAACAAACGAGTGCGAATTGGTGCCTCCCAGATAGACAGTGTCTCAGGAGATTATCCCGACTGACCAGATTTTAAATCCTGAAACAAAATGGAACACTTCAAGCCAAAAATGTTCTAAATTTTTCAACTCCACCTACACCGGAAATCGCACCTGGATGACTTTACCGAGACCCGAGACACGTTTTGTTCCAAAAGGCGATTGACTAGCTGCAACAGCCCAGAACAGAGACCTGCAGGATCCACAATGATCAAAATTACTCCGGGTCCTGGGAAGCTCACCGTGTGAACGATGCTGTACGCCAGTGCTGCAGCGTCCCACAGCCCCCTTCAAATGGTGGTACAAATAAAGCAGTCCACCATGATGGAAGAACGATGGTCTTTACCGTTCAAAAGGAGTCAGAAGCAGCATGGAACATTGCAGATCTTCACACACATTGGCCTATTCACGGGCTGTCCTATGCCACTGTTTAGCACTGAAGTACCTGAAGCTGTTTAGCACTGAGGTCCTTTGTCCCTCTGAAGACATAGCTCTTGGAGATTCCTTCACAGCCCAGCTCGTGGACCTGCACCATTCTCCCAAAGGTGATGAGTCCCACTAGGGCTGTGGGCGGTAAAAGACTGAGCGACATCTGCAAGGATTCCTTCAGAGCCTGCAGATCTTCATCCTCCATGCAGGTGTCAACAACATAGAGGAAGATTAAAGGCATCTGAGGACCTCTCTAGAAAAAAATAAAGGGGAATGTTAAACAGATTGTTGAAGCTTGATTTATTCCACGCAATTTCGCTATGCAAATATGATAGGGAGACAAAACTTTAAGATCACTTTATTACCCATATACAATTTCTTGTATTAGGAATTTGTCTGTTCGCATATCCCAACTTGCTCTCCATGAGACACACAGACGGGGAGAGAAACGCTTGGGGTCAGAGTGCAGGGTCAGACATTTATACGGCACCCCTGGAGCAGCTGGGGTTAAGGGCCTTGCTCGGGGGCCCAACAGAGTAGGATTCCTCTGCCCGCTGCGGGATTTGAACCGGCAACTTTCCAGCCACAGGCGCAGATCCCGAGCCACAGAGCCACTGCACTGCTGTTTAAAGAGACTAAAAACACATCCCTTTTAAGTTTTACCACAATTTTTAATCAGCACCTTTATGCTGCTGATGGAATTTTTTATCAAATGTAAAAAAATCACATAACAAATATCTGTAAACTGTTGTGTTTTCTTGTATTTTCAACATGCTGGCCAATTTAAACATGGTAAAAAAAGACAAACTCAAAGGTGAAATTGACTATGAGCGGACAAAAAAAGTGCAGCCTTGCTCACTACTGAGGTGAGGAAATAGAGACATGATGTATATGTGTGCAAGGAAAAGAGATTTCTGAAGACAAAGACAGACCAATAAATTAGGTTCCCGACATGTAATTTGCAATATGGAAAACAATTCACTGGCTCATGCAAATAACTCTTCTCCTCTTCCCCGGAAAACAGCAGCACCCTACCTGTACGACATATTCAATCGTAGAAAACTGGTGCAGAAGCTCCGCTGGTTGGTTCATTTCTGAAATCCCTGCATAGGTTGGAGGAAACTGGAAAAGCAGAACAAGACAAGCACTTAAAACTCCAGCCGCGAGAGAAAATTAAAGATCTTCCAATTTTATCATGTCTGTATTGTTTTCACCTGGTTCCTCTGGTAGCAGAAATTACAGGCCCACAGCTTTGCTCTGTAATCCACTTGACTGGTAACGGAAACAGAAATAAAGATGACACACAGCGCAGTAACGCAGGGAAATACAACGACTAAAAATAATCTGATTCATCACACCACACTCTACCCAGTAGCCGGTCCGCCAGTGCAACAAAAAGACAATAAATGAAGGGCCGAGCTGTTTAGTGACCGCAGAGACGCGGTCTGAGCTTTGCTACACGTTGTCACTGAATTCCTTCAGTCTCACACGTCCAGATCGGCTCTCTCATTAATACAGGAGTGCAGGACCTTAATAACACACTCGGGTTCTTTCCTTAATAACACACTCGGGTTCTTTCCTTTGGTTGGTAAAAAATATCGCCGAGGCCTTTTCAATCCCATTTTTTCTTTTTAATTCTCCGGCGGCTCATCCCGTTTTCCCATTGAAACTTGACAGCAGCCCACCTGTTAGCACGCCCCAGTAAAACACCCCCCACCCGAGAGCCAAGCCACAGGTTCGCGGCGCGCAGACCAACAGCGAGAGTCAAGGGCACAGCGCAGGAGAGCAGGAGCGGGGCCCCTACCACAGCGGGTTCAGAACCGCCCGGCACGTCGCCCGGCTGCACAAGACGGGCTCGTATTGAATGGGTGGCAGGTCCGGGCGCTCCTTGAGGGGGGTCAGAAGGGTGGCCACGGGGACCACCATCCTGGTCGCCTCCAGGCGGCTGGAGGGCCACACGTTCCAGCTGAAGCGGACCCCATCCCGGTCCTCGTTCTGCTGGATGAACTCCTGGAACGTCGCCATGGCGGCCTGTTCGCACTAGGGTCTGTAGGGAGAGAGGGGAGAGAGGCGCAGGGGGTCTCACAGAACCGGAGTAAAGCTCTCAGAGAAGACACAACGGACAGACCCCGGGACTTTGTCCCAGCCTAAATATCAAGTCCTCATATAAACATACTGCAGTCCTGCAACCTTCCGGTTCTTATGATATCCAGGTCTTAATTCAGGCGGACCACACACTTGGAACAGCTGGTGAAACACTGATTTTGCCAGGCTGGGTGTTGGATAACTTTTGGGCAACTGTGTCATAAATATAACTGGGTTTATTTTGTTTTTGGCCCAGAGCTATACAGCTTCCATGCTATAGGTCGTTTCCCAGATATACAAGTTTATCTTCGCATTTTTAACACTTGAAAACGATCGCTTGGATCTTATGAGAAAATTGTACACAACCTCTCCTACAGCCTTTTCCTTTGAGCACACAGAAATTGAGCTTTCGCGAGCGCCATCAAGTGGAAGATTTAGGAAACAACAACTATAATAATCCACCTTAAGGTTAAAAGTTTTGATGTGGTGGTCATGTAATACACTTTTATTAGCACCGACACAAAAGTCAAATCCAGTCCTGTTTACTTCGGAAAAACGGCCTTAATTCGGTTGAGCTACAAAACCAGACAGAAACGTCTCAGGGATTCGTACTTGAGAGAATAGGATTTCAAGACTGATCTTGATTGATCAACCAGGCTTCCGTTAAAATAATTTAAAATATACAGTTGAAATAAAGCCCGTTTCCCCCCCAAAAGCAAATATTCACAACTTTCACCGCAAAACAAAATTAAGAATACGAACCACGATACTGGGGAAGTCTTTACAACGAAATCAACCGACCGGTTCAGTTTTTCGGCTGTGCCACGATTATTGATCATCTGAAAATAAACAACCACGGTTCTGCAAAAAGCTGGCAAGCATATCGGCCTGGCTAGTAAAACACACACACACAATGTCTCTCGTATGGGCTCCAGGCCTGAGATTAACCGGACTGGCACCGTGAATGTCTCATATTGGGCAACTTCGCCAGCTCTGCCTGAACTCTGAACAGACTGCCAACACCGCACTGATTTGCAAACACGCGTGCAATAAAAATACATTAATATCACGCTCAGAAACCCCATTTCCTGCACACAAACCCCTTCACCCCAAACATTACAGACACCGCACCACCACTACCTTCCACTCGGAGAGAAATAAAAATACCCCATGCGTGGCTGTGAAAATAGCAAAGAAAACATTTTTAACATCGCTGCTCGGGGGGGGGGGATATCGCTCTCGGGACTCCAGGGAAGTCGCTTCAGTTGCAACGCTTTGCCAGCGACGAAAATTAGTGCACACTCACTCATCAAAGAGAAGAACAACAACGATTTCTCCGAACTACCACACCCCCCTCGCACGACCGCCTGGACGAGCCGCGGTCAGCCGGCTGCCCAGCAGCCTTTTCTGGGCTTGAGATGTTCCAGCGCCCCGGCGCCAGCGAAGACGTGCAGCCCACAGCACCACCATCCGCGGCGGCGGCGTTGGTCATTTTCTTTTCCCGGGGCACACTGCCTCTGATAGCAGCTCCCCCGTACGCCTCTCCGCTTTGACACGGTCTTTTCTGTAAATATTTGACTTACCTGCCGAGCCGCACGTCGCCACTCCAGCTCCTCCCGGGGCCAGTGCTGCATCTGACAGCACAGCCCGCTGACGTACCCGACAACATGGCCGCCCTCGCCGCTGCCACGTCAAGGGGGAGCCGCACAGGCTTTTGCAACAAGCCGGTCTGCGTGTGGCTCCCTTCCTCAAGACCCGCCCCCCGCCGCGTCCTGGAGGGGTGTGAATCTCCTTCGCGACTAATTTTAAGGACATCTCTTCAAGAAGGCTTTATTCGAGCGTCAGTACTACATGAACACAGTACAGACTCCTCACCGTCATGTAATGTGATGGCCCCTGGGCATTATAACCACTTCCACCTCAGGTTCAATTCTCAACTCACAATGTTTTTTTTTTTGGAAATAGATTAGTGAATAACAATGTAAATATTTGTAAATTAACATTGGATTTCGCATCAAACTCCTTCCTTGCACCATCACTATCGACTGTACCTGCTCCCTCGGCAGAAATGAAGGTTTGCTCTAGAGCTTTACCAAACCCTGAAACGCGTGACAGCAGAAAATTCACGTCCAATTATCAGCACCTACTGTACATAATCCTCCCTTCGAAGCATAAAAAGGTGTTTTGTTACATTACTTAAAACATCCCACTTTCAAGGGAGAATGATGCATTAAGTGTTTTTATGACCTAAAACCATTTCCTCCAAACCAGTTTTTTTTCCCTCAATGACCATTCTCCAAAGAGGTCTCGTCAGTCTCCAAGAGATTTCATTCAAAAATATTTTTACAGAATAACTCATTTTTTCTCTTTAACGAAGGAGAACGGAGCAGAACTTGACAACCCCCCACTCACAGACCAAAGCGAGCCAATCTTCTGCTCTGCTTACCTCCAGAACTGAATGTGTACAGTAAGTCAACATTTAAAAAAATATTCTACCCCTCCCCCAAATAAGTACACCGAACTGAGAATGCATACCATACAAATTTTATTATACAACACATTTCATGACAAAATATTGTCACAAACTAGTCTCATTTGATGCATTTTCCACTAGTAACACTCTACTTCTTGCAAATCAGCCAAACGTAAAGTTTATCAGATGTAACAATCTGCAAAAACCTGTATCCCAATCGTGAATCCCATGGATCCAGATTAAGACTGCCGTTTTCTTATTAGACAAATAAATCTGTGCATTTATTATTAACCAATTCACAAAAATTGGGAAGTGAATTCTAAAAAAAAAAAAAAACCCGACTTATTCAGCGTGTGAATAAAGATGACATTAAACGCATGAGATTAAGGCTTCAGTATCACATATTGTTGAATCCCATCATTCCTTTCATGTTCCCAGCCGCCCCTTGCTGAAACTGCCTCATCATGGACTGAAGGCCAGCCATCCCACCTGAAGGAAAATAATTTAAAATGTAGCTCTTTCCACTACACAAACATAACATTTTTTTAACAGCAGCCGGAAAACTGCAGATTTCACAATTCAGTCACTCAACCCTTATAAGAACAAGAACAAGGACAAACCCAGTTCATCATTTGAATTGCTGTACTGTCTTACAGGGAAGAGGTAAATGTTCACAGTTAGACTTCATGTCTCACCCCACACAGGTACGTGCAAAAGCTCCCTAATGCAATCTGTTCATCTCATCTGTACCAACTGGAGTCAAAGCTCTGTGCGCAGGAGTGTCCCTGCGGACGCTGCGGTGCTTCAGGAGCACGAGGTGACCGTCAGCCACGCGAGAAGACAATGACAGAGGCATACCCATGTGGTGAAGAACCCTGGGGTCCATCATCTTGGCCATCTGCTGATTTAATTTCGCCATCTGGGAAGGATTGACATTCTTGGACATGTCTCCACCTATGAAGAGAGGAATGTACATCAGCACACGCTGCATCTTACTGCAATAAGACTCGACAGGCATCAACTGACTGATAAAAGAAGATGCTGAGACCTACTTAAAGCCGTTTTTAAACAGATGAACTGAATTAGTAATATCTTTGTGTGGTCTTTAACTGGGAATAAACGCGCTCACATGGGAACAATACCGATCCCGGGAATGCTGGTCGGGACGATTGTGCGGCTGTGCGAGCAGGCACACGGCGCATCACACAGCTGTCCGACAGTGCCAGGGGGTCTCGCCCGCGCACCCGATCGCTAGTCTGTGCCCGTACCTTTGAAGAGCCCCTTGATGCCGCCCATCTTCTTCACCATCTGGGCGAACTTGGTGTACTGCGTCAGCAGCTCCTGCACGTCCCGCGCGGCCACGCCCGCTCCCCGCGCCACCCGCTGGATCCTGGTGGGCTGCTTGCTGAACAGCTTCGCGCCGTCCTTACTGTCCAGCTCTGCCGAGGAGCAGACGGCCCGGGGTGAGCATGCTCTGAGACTGCGGGCGTACAGGGATTCCCCAGAGCTGTGCGATCTGCACTTATGCCCAGTGTTCAAGAAGGCCAGTGGCTAAACCACTCAAAACCATCAAGGACACTAACATGAAGGAAACTTGATCGGGACGATTAGGCTGCTGCGATATCTCTTTAGAAGTGACTAACACTTAGCTGCTGTAGCCAAAAGTTACAGAAATCCCATGGATTCTACTAAAATACTCAGATCGCAGATCTCAGCTGGGATCATAAAACATACTGCAAATTCAAAGCAATTAAAAAAACCTTTAAAATACTTTTTTTATGGCTCATAAGTATCAAATTCACTTTGATACCTTGGAACCACGTACGATACTTACCTTGATCGTTCATGCTGTCCATGATGGTCATGAGTTTCTTCAGCCTGGCCATTGACTCTTGCTCATTGCCCTTACTCATGAAATCTGTTCCAAAGCCTGGAATCATGCCCTGCAAAAAGCAGTTCAGACCTCATTTAGAAACTAAAGACACTTAATAATCTCTTACTCATAAAGGGCCGAACTCTTATTAATTTAAGACATGTTTCCGAAACTCCAAAAACAGAACACAGCTGTTCAGAAAGCAGTCTCACACAGTGCACCCTGAATTAGCACAGACATTTCACACTTCAAGACGGCTCTTACCATGATCTGGCTGAAAGGCCCCATTTTCATGATATTCTGAAACTGCTCATACATGTCTCTCAGAGTGAACTGCCCTAAGGAAACGAAACAAAAGAACATGATTAAATGCTGCACATAATGACTATTCATTTGTGTCTGGAAAATATCCGCTTATGAAATGAAGCAAACCTGTTCATATATGAAAACCACCTTAAGAAAATATCATGTACTTTTTTTTTTTTAATTAGATTTGGGTGAAAATACAGGTGTCAAGGTCTCTTGGAAGGGGAAGGTGAGGTTTATTTCTTTATCGTGACCCTTACTGAAGCTTGTGGTGAATGCTGACTCCTACAGAATGACAGAAGTCTTACCATGTTTAAGCTTGTCTATGAGCTCTTCATTGTCATCCAGTTTTAGCTCATTGACCTTATCTATTAAACCTTCAATGTCTCCCATTCCTGCAAACAACAGAGTAGACATTAATACAGTTAATATCACAAGGCTTCAGTCTCACAACACTGTAAACAAGCAAAAACAAATCATACTCCATGTACAAAAATCACCTATCGATTCTCCTGCAGACACCCTTTCACCTCACCATGGTCTGAAAGGGAAACAATTCCTCCTCGTTTTCCTCAGATTTCTGAACCTTTAACTGGGTTAAAAAAACCTCACCTATTGACATCTAATTCTTAACCAGTTACTTCACTTTTTTTATCCATTGTATTCATTGTATTCCCGGAAAAATAATTCATACTGCCTCTTAGTGCTGTCTCCATGAGCTCAGGTGAGTAGATGGGGAAAAAGGGCAATACGTACCCAGAAGCTTGCTGATGAAAGGTTGTGTTTTGAATGGCTCAAAGTCATCAATGTGCTCTCCAGTGCCGATAAAGATTATGGGACTTTTGGTAGCAGCAACTCTGAAAAAGGGGGATGGTGAATTTGTGACTTTTCCATGACTCTTTTTTGGACCACTCTAAGGATTCAGTGGAAGCCACACAAAAAATAAGCTAAACTCTGGGTTTAAAGAAAATGCGTTATTACACGTGAAGAATGGAAAAAAAATAACAGCAATTTTGATTGCCATTGCAAACGGCAAAAGACACAGACGACATTCAAAAGTCACAGCAATAGCGGAGTTTGTAGTCAAAACTATTGCATTCGGTATCCCAAGGAACCAGCCTGCTGAGCTTCGACAACCACCACACCCAGATGCAATTCACACAGTTCTACACAAACTTCTCACTACTTGAAGCAGAGTCTTAAAACAAATATTAACAGATCCTAAGCAGGTCATCCAAAGCTGATATGTTGCCTTTCACATTTATGACTAGACTGCAGCAGGTCTAAAGAAATAGATATATTTTTGGGCTGAAGCACAGCTCTTTATAAAGGTTACTTACGCACTGAGTGCACCTCCACCCTTAGCATGTCCATCCAGTTTTGTGACAATAACAGAGGCCACGTCTACTTTGTCTTTGAAAGCTTTGGCCTGAGCTTCGCAGGCTTGCCCAATCGAGGCATCCATTACGTACACAATATTATCAGGTTGCTGAAAAAAAAAAGATCCCGCTAGCAAACTGTACTGTGGGCATTTTCCCGTTTCAAGTATAGATCTGAAACTAAAATATCAGGCTTATATGCTGGTAAGTAAAATAAGTTCCAAACAGTCCACTTTAGGCTAATATTATTAGTACATTATATTTTAAATCACTACTGAAAATACAGTAAAATGATTCTAAACGTACATATTTATTAAAACAGCATTACTAAATTGATCTGCAATACCAGAATGAAAACATACTGAGTTGTTTTGTCCATTTACTTACTACAGCATTGGATACTTGAAGCATTTCTTCAAAAAGCGAGTCTTCCTGTTTGTGTCGACCACTTGTGTCCACAATGATTATTTCGAAGTTCTCGTTTTTGAACTTTTCAACACCTTCTGACGCTATAATGACAGGATCCATCTCTGTGTAACTGGAGGATAAAAAAAAGAAGACAAAAGTTCATTCAACGTGCCCCCCCTCCCATTCCAATAATGATGTTCAAATCAGAAGGCATGAAGATACATTTCTGGCATACATCACATTTTTTGCACAAATATTCTGAAACTATTTTAGATATGATGGAGAAAAATGAAAAAAGAACTAAGCAGAAAACGAGGCAAGAAACCAAGACATACCTCCCGTAGAAGGGAATTCTAGCTTTTGTTGCATTCTGCTTCAGCTGGTCAAAAGCACCTGAAAAGCAAAACGAATGTCGGTGATGTACAACCAGGAAAAAAATAAACACCCAGCATTAAAGTCAGGAAAAATCATTTTACCTGCTCTGAATGTGTCGGCACATATCAAGCAAGTCTTCCAGCCTTTTCTTTGGTAATAATAAGCCAACTAAACAAATACATAGAAAATGAATGAGAAGATTATTTAACAAAGTGTGATTCCATTCTTAAACTATGATGCCAGCATCCATCTCAAGGGTCTCTGGGTTCTTATCTGCAGCGCTGAATTAGACTAACCCATTCTTTAGACACATGGGGCACTGGAAAAAACAGTGCAGCAGACTGGGGGTCCAGGGCCTGGTTCCCAGGGGTAGCAAAGTACCGCAGAGGGTGGTGAAGTCAGCGCGGCTCATGACCGGCTGTGAGCTACCAAACACCCAGGATATCTACTCAGCTAGATGTCTGAAGAAGGCCAGGTCCATTCTCAAGGACCCCAGTCATCCCAGTCACAAACTGTTTTCCCTCCTACCGTCTGGTAAACGGTACCAAAGCATCCAGCCCAAGTCCAACAGACTACGGAACAGCTTCTACCTCCAGGCAATAAGACTGCTAAATAGCCAACCTGCAGCTCCTTTAGCAGATCACCTGTAATGGCTCCATGGACACAGTTTTCACTGTATTCATCATATTGCACTACTTGTATACATTGCATACACTATGGACACACAGCAGCTCTACTCATATTGAGTTTTATTCAATTTCTATTATGATGTAAGCTTATTTTCGTAACCTCAATTTTGTGATGTTTGTGATTCTTGTGATTTTTGTGAGCTCGCAGAAGAGACATTTCATTGCCAGCAACTACTGCTGCACGCTGTATTGTTGTGCATTTGATAAATAACCTTCATCTGATTTGGTTTAGCAGTACCTTGGAACATGTGGTGGTTTTCCCACTGCCCTGCAGACCCACAAACATGATCACGTTGTTCTTCCCTTTCGTCGGTGTCCAGGCTTTGACTCCAGGGTCCACAAGCTGGAAAACAAACACAAAAAAAAGGCATCGCAACAGACCTTCTCCACCTAATCCACCCCTGTCAGATCAATCTCCTCAGGACACACCGTCTTGAAACCAGCGTACCTTCACCAGCTCCTTGAACACAGCGTGCTGAATCATTCTTCTCTTGTTCAGGCCCGAGGCCATTTCTTCAAGGTCTATGGCCGACCTGAAATGAAAAGGTTTAGGGGTGTGGGACACTTCTTTCTTGAACAGCCCGTGGGTTTCGGAATACCTGTAAAGGTCATGGCACGCTGCCGCTGGAAGCATAAACAGCAGCACCCAAAAAGCCTTTGGAGGGCGACTTCACACCACCAAGCAGAAAGGGTCAGCACCCTCACACAGTGTTCAGGCAGCCATTAGCTCTATAAAGTTAGGCTTACGCCTGATCAAATCCATTAAAACATACTTTATACACAGCTCTCACACAGACAAGGCACAAAACAAAGACGCTTAAGGTACAAAAAAAAAAAAGAGTAAAGCCAAATATTACACAGACTAGGACATCAGCGAAGCAATGCAGTGTGTTATGGTAGACAGGTGGTGCAGCACTCAATAACATTCAATGCCAACAGGACATTCTGGACGTTTCCCCATCACTCTCGAAAACACTTGGGTAATTAAAACATACGTGCAGGAAAGAATCAACTTTAAGGCTTCCAGTGGGCCACTTACTTGACATTTTCTCTTAGTTGTTTGACGAGCTTTATGTTTACATCTGCTTCTAGTAGAGCAGCACAAACTTCTTTCAGCATAGCATTTAAAACCTGCAAGAAAGTCAGCTTTGTCATTGGCAGCAGCTGCTCTGTGGCCAACAGAGCAACGAGACCAAGCAAGTGCACCTGAAACATGGCTGACAATTCCCCGAGGGCCCGGTCTCTTCTGGCGTTTGTCAGTTTGTCCGATTATTTTCTTAGGCAGAACCAAAGATCAATTTAATTGTTTGTTGTTGGGTTTTTTTTTTTTTTACAGTTGACTATTCATAACCTACACTTCATGAAAGGTACAGTCATTCTTTATTCACATCAGAGCCAAGTTACAAATATCATGATTATACAATTAAAGAGTTTAGTTTAGAGTAGCACCACCATTGCTGGAGTGCTCCAGGAACTTAATATGAATAATTATCACTTTACCGCAAAGGGCTTTAGGAACCACATTCTAATGTAACTGTTTCTGCCACATCCAGCTAAGTCCCCGATTGCAACTGATTTAAAGCACTCAAGGTCCCAACATTCAGCCCGTCTGCCAATACTAAGGATTAAGTGGCTACTGAAAAAGGACGAAATATAAATCACTTGCTTCCACAAAAAGCAATAATCTCTTTGTTAACAGATAACATCTCAAGGAAACTACATGAAATACGTTTTAATGGCATTTTATCAACAAACAAGCAATATGTTACACTCTAAAAACAAACTACACTTGACTTTTGTCACTATCCTTCCATATCTGTTATAAACGTGGATTTACAGCTTTGCGTTCAAATCATATACTTATGATTTTTATTACTTGTGCACATGCATCTTCAACTGTTCATGCAAAAAAAAACTAGATATGCTCAGATACTGTAATCACTGCTGAGATCTGAAAGAGGATTTCCACGTGTGTACATTAAAATGTACTTCATGTGGCCTGATGCAAGAGCCTTTGACAACAAAAAAAAGCTTTTAGAAGGTAACTCATAATATACAATCAGAGGGTGCTATATAAAAATGTCCAACCATGCTCACATATAAAGTTCTCACAGCTAAGTACATAAGATGGCTTTTAAACTTCGTAAGAAGCGCACTGTAACCTTTAAAAAAGTTCTACAGACGACCAAGCTGAAATCCAGCTCTTATCAAGACTAATTCCTGTTTTTGTGGACACGCAGGATCCCCTTCGTACATTTGTTAACTATTAAGCACTCAACTGTGCTGCAGCTGTAGCTCCCAGTTACAGCTCCAATCATTTCCTGTTGACACCAAGACATTTCTGTACCCAAACTACAGCTGCGCTACGAGCAACAAGAAGCAACATACACGTCACAGGAGTACCTGGCAGAATGGGCTGCCTTCTGTAGTGATTTCAAATGTGTTTTAAGACGGAAAGAAAAACTAGGGCCGCAGTTTTGACATCACGCTGAAATTACCTCTTCATTTATGATGGTAGCATTGCTCAGCGATCTCAGCGCCGAGGTTATTTTTCGTCCCAGATCCGCTAAAACCATTTTGGCTGCTTCTTTAAAAACCCTAGGGAAGAATAATGAAGATAAGTTACCTGCCCTTTTCTTAGACACAGACGTTTCAACAGTTCGCGTTCCACGGCTTTACTTCCCCCATGCAGCTAGACGTACCTGTAAAACGTGCCGATTTAAAGCAAGTCTAAACGGGACAGTCCTGCTCCGCTGCAGTAGCACAGGGAAACCCTCTCAGTCCATGCAAGACCGCAGCCGTTTGGCGATCAGCCGGAGAGAAAGAGAAAACAACTGGCGCTCGACTCTCTCCTTCTACTGGAGCGGCTGTTGGAGCAGAAAGACACAATCGTTACCACAGGAGTCGCCATTCTCGCGTTACGGGTTACGGACCCAGCGAGCAGTACACAAGCAGCGAGCTTAACAAACACAACCACGGACAGTGGTAAACGGCACTAAAACCCATCCGTGGTGCGAGTTAACGAAACAGATGCGTGATGACCCAGTAAACAGGCCATCCCTAAGCACAGCCCACTGCCGATTCGCCTCCTCGAAAACGTTACCATATCGCCTGTCGCCATCTGCCTGTGGGCGAAAATCCCTCGAAATGAAATCCCGATTTTAAAAGGGGTCTATTCCCAAGCACACAAATGGAAATTGCCCCGTTTTACACTACCGCTATAAACACTTAAAGCCCAGTCCCTTACCAAAGCACATTAGAAACGTCACCATAAACTAAGATGCCCCAGGAACCACTTTGTATTTCCTGGGTCACAGAGGCACGCCCACCCCCTGTCGACGAGGGGGAGGGGCATAATTTTAAGGTGGAAAGCTGCTTTTGGGTTCATTAATATACTGAAACGTATTTTGGGTACAACGCAGTACTAAATATATACTAAGCATGTTTTTAAAACTAAAACTATTTCTACCATATTTGTGTTAAGTAATTCAAAATGATTTGTGACACATTTATTTTCATATAAATAAAGTACCTTCAATGTTAACAAAAGGTACGATTGAGCTGTGCCATACTGTACCTACACTTCCAGCGACTATTTCTACCTTAAGCAATATCAACCTGCTGTTTCACTTCTTTAATACGAAGCAAATTGCAACGCTTGTGTTATTGAGCAGTGTGACGCGGAGAGTACATTTATTTTTAGACGAATGGGTCTTTTAATTTTAACAGCAGTTGGTGACCATGGGAAAAAAAGTAAACTGCAAAAAATATTTTCTTCTTAAGTAGACCCTGATAAGACTCCTTAAAGGGAATAAAAACCACTGAACTCCTATTTGGTTGTTGTTTTATACTGAGTGTATCTAGTACGTTTATGTACCAGGTTTATTTGCATAGTTCTGGGATTCTGTTGTTAACTTGGGCGATTTATAATAACTTTCTGAGTGTAGCACAAACTATGCTATTGAGGGTTCTTCCCAATACGTTTTCTTTCATTTGGGATGATTACGGGGAAAATTAGATGGAACAATACCGATGTATTCCACTGCATTGTAGAAGAGCCCAAGAAGGTCTGGTTCTCCCTACCTGGTCTGTTGTGCAGTGGAGCTGCTGGACTAGAATAGCTGGTGAAGTGGGTCCCCTCCTATATGGACTTGCTGTGGGATTAAATATGCAAGCAATAATTATAACTGGATGTCTAGGCAGTGGTCATTGCAGAGAAGAATTTGGGCCCTCTAGTCACCTGTATTGGATGTACACCTAACAGAGCAGGTTGTAAAAGATATTGTGTTTTTGAACTGAAAATAAGAATATAAATACTAAAGAAAATACTTTATGCAAGGCTGTTGGTCTGCTACATTCTGTATGTAACCACTGCAGCTGTGTTAACAGGAGATGCAATTTGACTTTTCCTCTACAATGAGAGCAGTAAATCCCATTGAAGCACTCTCTCTTTCAGCTCCTTCATTAGACAGGGCTGCTATGTGATACTGTCACCCGGGACTCTTTGATCTTGAGAACCACAGCAGGGAGCAGATCAGATGCCTCAAACATGAGTTCTGCGTTTGTTCTAATGATGAATGATTGCCTGGCCCTGAATGTTTCCTGCTCGTCACACATTGGAACAGTAGTAGAAATAAGAAAGGTAACAAACTAGAGGCCTTTCAGTCCATCTAGCGTGTTCCGTAGCTGGTAGCCAATTCATCCCAGGATCTCATCCAGCTATTTCTTGAGAGAAGCCAGTATCAGCTTCAACAACAAGGCCTGGTAGCTTGTTCAATATTCCCACAACACTTATATAGAGAAGTGTCTCCAATTCTTCTTCTTCTTCAAGAGGGTCACATCTTTATTTCTGGTTTTGCCTTGCAGCGTTGAGCTAACCCAAGAGGGTATCATATGTTGATGTTTCTGATATTTTCTGTCAAAACCCACTTACCTGAGCATGTGCTACGTGCATGTTGAAATTTTACAGAATCCTCTGCCCACTGTTTTGTGTTCGTTATTCCTGTATGATGAGGACCCTGGACTCTCGGTGTGAGGTGGGGGAAGATGAACAGGAGCTACTGGTTAAACTGTAGATCTCTCAGAGTCTCACCACTTGGTAGGGGTCTTTTTTTATACAGTTGCACGTACAAGCTCATTCACTCATTTACTTATTTGAAGGCTTCGTGATGCACACATTTTCTATAGATCTCTTCCACCATGAGACGGACTCCAGACCAGGCACTGTGCCTTTGCATGTCTTGGGACTACTGACTTTGTGTATCGTGTTTTGCAGGAAATTTGTAATTGTAGCCATAGCTATTACTTAGTTACTTAGTTTTCTAGTTCTAGGATAAAACAAATAAACCTGCTGTTTTTTATTTAGATATAGTCATTTTTAAAAATGACTAAATATGTGATATAGTTCTCTCCGTGGCAAAGAAAAAACTATAACCAAATCAAAAGCGAAAAAAGAAAGAACATACCAATTGTAATCAACCATTCTTTTTCATCTCCATGGAAAAATATTCTGCCTGCATCATATTTTCACTAACAGTAACTATGTTTTAGTGGTTCATTTAATCATTCTCTTTAGCATATAGTAACGGATGGAAAGGAGTTCTTCAAGCTCCAGCAGGGAGTACCATTTTACAGACAGAGTCTAGGTTTTGGTTTTAGGTTTATTGTCTAAAACACATTACGGCACAAAGTGAATACAACAGTTATTCATAATGAAGGCCAGAAGTAAAGCATTCTCCTCTTACTTCCTATGTTGTAAGACACATGCCACCCTACAATATGAACTGTAAGAGCAGTAGAGTAAGAACATGTCCCTTATGTCCATCACATAATGATCATATAGTGTGTTGCCAAGGCCAGTTTGGAAACTGTCGTTGAGAATTGTTCCAAGTAAGCACAGTTACACAAACAGGCCTTCATTAAATAAGACACACAAACCAGTATTTGCACTTTCAGATCAATTTATTTATTAAAATGCACAGGGCTTTCTTCATTTTCACATATCTGCCAATTTACAAAATGTGATGAACTGAGATTAAAGGCTCTTTTTTTCTGCAGAAGAATTTTAAACTGTGGACTAATCATATATTAAATGTATCAAGAGTCTGCTTTTATGATTTATAAAATAAGATTTATGATTATGATTAAATAGCACATTATCAGTCATCACAGCTGGCAAACAGATAATGATCATCCTGTACCACTGTGCTATAAATTATTCATCTACAAATTATCAGTTAATATATTTATTTATGCAGCATGAAAAAGCAGTAATGTTCATTTTTTGACACATCTATTTTTGTTTCATTAGATCATCCATATCCACATTTTCTCTCTTCACAATGCAGATGTGATCATCATCTGTGTTTGTGAGTATTTATGGGACCCAGGTAAACACGTTGGGTCATTTCTGTTGTTTCTTGTGCATTTCAAAACATTAAAAATTTTGAATTTCCTGCCGTGATTCATGCAGCTTATAAAATTAGCTTTAATTAAAATATATCAAAATGAAAAGTAGTTTTAAGCCATTATCCAAAAAGTAAGCCAACTTGGTAGCCTGATTAACTATGAGTATCATCTGAGCAAAATGTGGCATGAAAAGTTTTGCAGTTCACATTAAAGTCACATTCAGCAAGATAAATCTCACTTTCTGCCCACTGTGGGTTATTCAGGAGCTGACGTGTGTCTAGGTGGGGCACATACAGCACATGCCAAAAATGTTTACTTCCCCAGGCAGAATACTAAGCATGGTCAGAATGAAAAGCAGTGTCGCAAACTGTAAATCTTAGAGTCACTGCTAATCCAAAGGTTACAGTGATTACATTCTCCCCTGTGTGTGTTATGAAAATAGACCCAGCTGTCTTCTGTGTTTTGGCAATAAAGTACAGGTTTCTTCACTATTATTTAGCTTTTTTATGGTTTTTTTTTTTGTCCAGTGCATGGAAGTTTATGACAATAAACTTGAAAAAAGACATAAGACACAACAGCAATAATAATAATTCCTTACACTTATACAGCACTTTTCTGGACACTCCACTCAGATCTCTTTTTAGATAAAGAGGATTCCCCTCCACCACCACCAATGTGTAGCCCCACCTGGATGATACGCTCACCGCACATCAGTTCTCATCGGGGAAAAGAACAGGGTGATGAAGCCAGTTCATACATGGAGATTATTAGGAGGCCTTGACGAGTAAAGGCCAGTGGGAAATTTGGAGTGAACACTCCTACTCTTTTTGAGAAACACCCTGCGATTTGTAATGACCATGGAGAGTCAGGACCTCAGTTTAACATCTCATC